ATTACTTGCCCCATTCACATAACTTTGAATTACTTGATTAAAATGAATAATTTTTTGTGTCATTCTCATACGGTGCTTATATAACTACTAAAAATAAGTAGGAAAAGCACATGATAAACCTTGATTCACGATTTAACTTCTAGGCAACTTAACATACATTAATGAATTTTTCTGTATATAAATGACAACTTACATTCCGTATAACGTTTATTTATCAGATAACCAGAAACAGAAATTAAAATCTTGTTTTCAGAATAAAAGTTCATGTTCGTTGAGATTAAAGATTCAAAATCCTAATCAAAAAATTAATTTAACTCAAAGACAAATTAATAAAATTGAGAAAGCTAAAAAAGAGAAAAAAGGATGCGATATTGAATTATCACCTCCCCAATTAAAGCAAAATGGTGGTTTTCTACCGTTTTTAGCGGCATTGGCACCTTTTATTATTCCAGCCGCAAAAGCAGCTGCATTAGGAGCTGCAGGAGCTGCAGGCGCGAAGATAGTACAAAAAATAGCTGGAAATGGTATAAAAACTCCCGGAAAAAAATATAATGGTGGAGGTCTTAAAAAAAAACACTAAATGAAATATATTATGATCCGAAAACGGGTTATACAGGTATTCAAGATTTAATGAGAAAAACTAAATTATCTCAGAGGGAAGTTGAAAAATTTCTAAAACAACAAGATGTTTATACTTTACACAAACCTATAATACGAAAATTTACAAGGAGAAGAGTTTATGTTAAAGGAATTGATGATCAATGGCAAATAGATTTGGTAGATATGAGAAATTTAAGTCAAAAAAATAATCATTACAATTATATCTTAACAATTATAGATTGTTTCTCAAAATATGCTTGGGCTATTCCAATTAAGAAGAAAACTGGTGAATTTATTTCTGAAGCATTTAATAAACTTTTTAAAGGAGAAAGAATTCCTAAAAAGATTCAAAGTGATAAAGGATTAGAGTTTGTTAATAAAACCACTCAGGAATTATTTAAGAAACATAATATTCATTGGTTTACCACCCAAAATGAAACTAAAGCCCAAATAGTGGAAAGATTTAATAGAACCTTAAGAGGTCTTATGTTTAGATATTTTACGGCTAATCAGACTAAAATATGGATTGATGTTTTACAAGATTTAATTTATAATTATAATAATTCATTTCATACGAGTATTAAAATGACACCAACTGAAGCTAGTTTAAAAAAGAATGAAAAAAGGGTAAGACAAAACTTGTATCCTTTAGAAAGTTATGATAAATCTACAAAATATAAAGTTGGTGATAAAGTTAGAATATATTTAGAAAGAAAAACATTTAAGAGAGGTTATACACCGAATTATACCAAAGAAATTTTTATTATTAGTAATGTTTTAGATACACTACCGATTACATACAAAATAAAAGATTTAAAAGGTGAGGAAATTATTGGTAGTTTTTATAAAGAAGAATTATCAAAAGTTTCTTAATAAAATTAATAAAATTTTATATATATAAATGAATAAGATTTGTACTAAGTGTAAAAAAGAACAATCTTTAGAATGTTTTGATAAAAATAATAGAACTAAGGATAGATTAAGAGGATGGTGTAAAGGTTGTGTTAGAGATCATTATATTTCTCGTAAAGATAAAATATATGAAAAACTAAAATGTGAATGTGGTGAAGAAATTGTTAAAACCTATATAGATAAACATATAGAAACAAATATTCATAGGAGAAGATTAAATAAAATTAAAAAATGTTCTGTGTGTAAAATAGAGAAACCGTTAGAGAATTTTCATAATAATAAAAGTAATAGTGATGGTCATAATTATATTTGTAAAAAATGTCAAGCTAATAATTATTTTAAAAAAAATTAATAAAAATTTTTTCTAATAAATGGATAACTTGAATTCGATGAGAGTTGTTGATCTTAGACAGTTAGCAAAATCTTTAGGAATTAAAGGACTGAACAGAATGAGAAAAGAAATTTTAATAAATAATATTTCTACACAATATGAAATTAACAGAAAACGTAAAGCAGATAAATTTATTCAAAATTTTGAAGATTATGATTTTCAAATATCTAATTCAAAAGAATATAGAAATGAAGTTGATGATGTTCAAATAATAAAATCAAAAGGAGCTTGGGGAAATATGGTTACAGATTATTCAATTTATTGTAAATCTGGAAAATATGATATTGGATTATTCTTTGATAACATTAAAGAGAAAGTAGTTAATCTTATTAATAATGAATTAAATAGAAAAAAATCAGTAACCATTAAATTTATAGCTGTTGTTCAATATAAAAATAATGCCACAAATGAACTATATAAATATCATTCTCATTCTCAAAATCATTATATAACATTAAACCAAACAAACGTTATTGAATGTGTTGTAGAAGAATCTAAAAATAATATAATAGGCAAGATGGAATCTTTTAATGCAAAGAATACTAAATTTGTATTTGATGAAATCATTAGAGTGGATTTGTGTTCTGATAAATATAATCCTCTTCGTGGTGGAACATATGTTGAATTACCACCATTCATTAAAAATAAAAAATGTTGTATTAATATTAAAAATAATAAAATCAAACAATTTAAGTGTTTAAAAAAAGAAAACTTAAGATGTTTTGAATATGGTTTAGAATCTATTTTAAATCCAATTGATAGAAAGAATCACCCTTATAGACCAACTAATTATGATATATCAAAATATGAAGAATTGAAAATGAATTATCCTGTAGAAATAACTAAGGAAAATATCGAAATTTATGAAGAGTTTCTTAATATATCTATTAATGTATATGAATTTAATAACAGTAATTTTGAACTATTACATACAAGCTGGAAATATAAAACAGTAGAAAAACATGTAAATTTATTATTATATAATAGTCATGTTGTGGGAATAAAAAATATATCTGGTTTATTGAGTGGTCAAATCCATAAAAGAAATCAGCGTATGTCTATTTGTATGAAATGCCATAAAGTATTTGATAGTGGAGACAAATTAAATGAACATATTGAGAATTGTGTACATGAAAAAACTATTATTGAAATGCCTAGAAACAGTATTAGACAATATATTTCAAATGGAGCTGAACAATTTCATCCGTTTGTTGTTAGTCTTGATTTTGAATGTACTCTTAAGAAAATAAGTGAAAACATAGGAGAATCATCAAAACATATTCATGAACATATTCCAAACAGTTTTAGTTTTTATTCAAATTGTAATACTTTAATTAGAAATGAAAATGTAGATTTATTAATGAAAGAATTTAATGAAGAATTAATTAGACTTGGAAAAGAATATAATAAAATAAGAAAAACTAATATACCAATGAGGTGGAATAATATTGATGATATAAATAATTATATGAATGCTACGAATTGTGATATATGTGGTATAGAATTTGATGGAAAAAAGGTATACAAAGTAAGAGATCACAATCATGTAAATGGACAATATAGATCTGCTTTATGTAATAAATGTAATTTAAATTTAAAATTACCTAAATTTATTCCAATAATAATTCATAATTTAAGATATGATTCAAAATTATTTTTAAAATGGATATTAAAATTAAGTGAAGACGAAGATGAAAATGAAGATGAAGATGAAGATATTAACATAATTCCAAATACTAAAGAAAATTTTATTACATTTTCTAAAAAGGTTATTGTTGATAAATATAATCAAAAAAATGATATATCTATATGTAAAAAATGTAAAACAAAAGAAGAGAATAAAATAATTCAATGGTGTTCTGAATGTAATTCAAAAATGATAGTTAAAAAAAAAGGCGATAAGCAAAACGTAATTATAGAATTTAGGTTTATTGATTCATTTCGTTTTATAAGCACAAGTTTAGATAAAGCGATAAATAATTTAGCAGAAGTAAATGATTGTTATTGTTCAAAATGTAGGTCAAAGCAAGAAATAAATAATATTACTATATTACCAATTGATGAAAATAATATTTTAAAATTAAAAGCTAAATGTAAGAAATGTGATAATAATGTAAGTAAAGTAATTGATTATAAAAAATTTCAAAATATATTGAAAGAGTTTAAAAAACAAGATTTACATTTAGTTTTAAGAAAAGGTATTTATCCTTATGAATGGGTTGATGATTATTCTAAATTTAGAGAAAACATTCCGTTAAATAAGAAAGATTGGTATTCTACTCTTAATGATAAAAATATAGATGATTTAACATTTGCTAATGAAGTATATAAACATTTTAATTGTAAAAACTTTGGAGAATATCATGATTTATATTTAAAATTAGATACAATATTACTAAAAGATGTTTTTGATAATTTTAGACAAACTTGTTACGATAATTATAAATTAGATCCGGTTTATTATATTTCTGCACCTAATTTAGCTGATGCTGCATCATTAAAAGAAACAAGACAAAAATTGGAATTAATTACCGATCAAAAAACATATGAAATTTATGAAAAGGGAATTAGAGGCGGAATATCTATGATTCCACACAGACACGCATTAGCAAATAATTGTTATTTCTATGATGAAAAAACTTGTAAAACAATTAAATTGAGTAGAGAAAAAGCTGAGGAAATAGGAATATATAATAGTAAGAAACACATCAGTTATATTTTATATTTGGATGCAAACAATTTATATGGTCATTCATTAAGTCAACCTTTACCAATAGGAAAATTTACTAATCATAATGGACCTAATGGATTTACTGAAGAAAAAATTTTAAAATTAGAAGATTATGATAATAAATATGGGTATACATTTATTGTTGATTTAGATATACCAGAAGAATTACATGAAAAGTTTAAAGATTATCCAATGTTACCAGAACATTATAAACCGAATTATGATGAACTATCTCCTTTTCAAAA